AGCAGAGGAGTTAGAGGGCCCCTGAGGCTCACAGGAGCGGCACCGCCGGGGAAGACAGCAGAGGAGTTAGAGGGCCCCTGAGGCTCACAGGAACGGCACCCACTGGGGAAGACAGCAGAGGAGTCAGAGGGCCCCTGAGGCTCACAGGAACGGCACCGGCCGGGGAAGACAGCAGAGGCCCTGTGAGCTGAACTCCCGTGTAGACCGGCCCCGGGTGGTGATGCCAGGTGCAGACCTGAATGGCAAAACGCAGACGGGAAACCAGGCATGCAGAGCCACAGCCCAGGAGGAGGCTGGCTCATGCAGTCAGAACATAACCCGGTTACCTGCCTGCCAAGACAACTCAACATTCTGCAGAGGATCTCACAGGACTCGGGTTCGTCTCAAGGTAGGCCGAATGCCTAGGGCACAAAATAAACATGAAAAGAGCCAGAAAACTCTCAAGGGAAAGGCCGCCTCTCAACCCTCACATGACCCAGATACTGGAAGCATCAGATGAAGAACAGTTACTAGAGCCATGCTCTGAAATAAGAGCAGATGCCCTTGAACCAAACAAATGAAAACATTCAGTAAATAGAAAAACATCGGGAAACAAAAATGAACTCGGACTTGCAGGACAAGATCACACAGTCTGGTGTGTGTGTCACTGGAGTCCTAGAAAATGGAGTAAGGTGTGTAAACTTTTTTTTTAAGAAATATTTTAGGTCAGGCCCAGTGGCTCACGCCTGTAATCCCAGCACCAAGGTGGGTGGATCACTGAGGTCAGGAGTTCGAGATGAGCCTGGCCAACACGGAGAAACCCCGTCTCTACTAAAAATACAAAAACTAGCCAGGTGCAGTGGCGTGCATCTGTGATCCCTGCTGCTCAGGAGGCTGAGGCAGGAGAATCGCTTGAACCCGGGAGGCAGAGGTTGCGGTGAGCAGAGACCTCACCATTGCACTCCAGCCTGGCTGACAAGAGTGAGACTCTAACTCAAAAAAAAAAAAAAAAACCATACAAAGGAACAGGAAACCATGAGGCTGGGGCAGGGGACATGTGCACAGAGGCCATCCTTGAAGAAGCCGGGAAATTGTACTAGACAACAATTGTCTTAAATATGCTCGAGCTGAAGGGAACCGGGGACAAAGAACTAAAGAAGGCCAGGTGTGGTGGCTCGTGCCTACGGGGTCAGCACTTTGGGAGGCCAAAGTGGGGGGAGCACTTGAGCCCAGAGCTCACAGCCAGGCTGGACAACACAGTGGGACTCTGTCCCAAAAAAAAAGTTAGCTGGCGTGTGTCTGGGTCCCAGCTCCTCCGAAGGTTCAGGTGGGAGACTGCGTGAACCTGGGAAGTTAGGGCTTCAGTTCACCGTGATCACGCCGCCGCAATTTAGCCTGAGCAACAGAGCAGGACGCTGTCCCTCCCCCGCCCCAAAAGGAAAGAAATACGAATAGTGTATGAAAAAGTTGAAAGAACGGAAAATAGAAATTGTAACAAGAAACTAAACAGAAGCTAGGGCTGAAAAGCAAAATAGCTAAAATAAGAAATTCACTAGAGGCATTTAACAGCAGATTTCAGCAGGCATCAGAAAGCAGCCGTGGACATGAAGGTAGGGCCCACGAAATCACCCCGTCTAAGCAACAGACAGAAAAGAAAAGCGGGGGAAGAGTCAAGAGGAGGGACCTACGGGACCATCAACCTGTCAAAACAGGCCTTGGGAGAACTCCCCGAAGCCGAGGAAGAGGAAACAGTGGGGCAAACAGCCACTGCGAACTTCCCTGATCCGATAAAGACATGAATCTACAATCCAACACGCGCGATGAAACCCAAGCAGGAAAAGCACAGAGACCCGGAGCTGAGTGAACACAACACGACACCTAAAACGGGAAGGCTTTCCTTCAAGGTCAGGACAGGACGCCAGGACCTACCTTCAGCTGCTGCTCGTCTGCGTCGTACAGAAGTCATCCAGAGCGATCCGGCGAGAAAGGCCTCAGACCCTCCTTGCAGATGGAATGAGTATGTATAGAAACTTCCGTAGAAACACACCCAAACTACGAGCGTTGACAAAGGAATTCAGCCGTGCTGCAGTGTACGAGATCAAGATAAAAATACACTGTATTTATATGCACCAGCAATAAACAATCAAAAAGGAAGGTAAGGCCAGGCATGGTGGTTCACACATGTAACCCCAACACTTCAGGAGGGCGAGGCAGGAGGACCCCTTCCATCCAGGAGTTTGAGACCAAGCAGGGCAACAAAGGGAGACCCCCTTCTCCAAAACAAAATTAAAGATCAGACAGGCCAAGTGCGGCGGCTCACGCCCGTCATCCCAGCACTTGGGGAGGCCGAGGCGGGCAGATCACCTGAGCTCAGGAGTTTGAGACCAGCCTGGCCAACATGGCGAAACCCCATCTCTACTAAAAGTACAGGAGAATCGCTTGAACCCGGGAGGCGGAGGTTGCAGTGAGCCGAGGTTGAGCCACTGCGCTCCAGCCTGGGAGACAAAGCGAGACTCTCTCAAAAACAAAGAAACAAACAAAAAAACGTGAAGAAATTAGCCAGGTCTGTGGTCCTCGCTGTTTGGGAAACTGAAGAAGGATCACTTGAGCCCGGAGGTGGAGGCGGCAGCAAGCCTTGATTGCACCACGGCACTCCAGCCTGGGAGACAGGGCCGAACAAAGAGCAAATGAAAGCATGGCTGCACGTGGTGGCTCACGCCTGTGATCCCAACATTTTGGGAGGCTGGGGCAGGAGGACTGCTTCGGGCCAGCCTGGAGAACACGGAGAGATGCCATCTCTACAGAAAAATCAGCTGGGTGTGGTGGCGCATGCGTTTCGTCCCAGCTACGTGGGGAGCTGAGGTCGGAGGATCACTGGAGCCCAGGAGACGGTGGGTGCCGTGAGCCGAGGTTGCGCCCCTGCACCCCAGCCTGGGCGACAGAAAGAAGGAAGGACAGGCAGCTGTCAGTACAAGCCGACGATGGTAAATAATGTGCGGCGTGAAGTTCAGCCCTGGGCAAGCACTGAAACAGGTAGAAAAATGCTGCCGTTTTCTGGAGTCAGCAAGACACCCTCTTCTGCAGCATCTGGCCAGCTCCTTGACCATTTTTTCCCATGTGCCCACGAGGGACTGGGAGATAAGGAGTCGCCGTCAGTCGCACACCCCGGAAGCATCAGACTCACCGTCTGCAGCGTCTTACGCGATGACAGGACTCTGCCTGGCTGGCAGCCAGCACGGACAGTTCAGGATGGCGCTGCCAGTGTCTGCGGGAGGCTCAGAGCAGACGCCGGGCGAGTCACGGCCTCTGCGGACGGTGGCGTTGCTCTTGAAC